CCACACCGACCCAGAAACAGGAATTTTGCCTAAATCCTCTCTGTGGGCCACAGCGCCGTGTCCAGCTTTCCGCCACCCCAAACAGTGCGTTAGCGACGCCTGTATGTGCGCATTTGCTGTGTGCCTCAGGGTGGCGTTCGCTCTAACAGCGCTGACCCCGGGGTCTGCAAGAGTGAGAGGAGATGCGAACAAGGCCGAAATGTTGAGTGCACGGCGAGGGGCGAGGAAACGCCCAGTGACACCCTGGGGTCCTACTGCACTGTCCTTCCCTCTGTCCACGGAGCCGCGGTTCGGCGCTTCGCGCTCCTGGTGCCGCGGCGCCTCTTCCCGGGTACCGAAACAGGTCCGAGTGCCCACGGACCTGTCCCTGGTCACACCGCGGTCTCCTCGGCTCGACAAAATCTTTCAAAACTCTTATCCTGTGGGCTTTGTCCACAGAGACGCCGAGAGTCCAGATCAACATATTTGCAGATCTGAACAGTGGTGAACTTGGCAGGTCTGAGGGCGCGCCCCCCGTGAATTCAGTGGTGCAGCTCTCAAATGGGGTTCTGTTCCAGAATTTGACAACAGGACAGAGAAATAAAACTTGGTCAGAATATGAGCAGGTAGCTGGGTGTGGTGGCTCACACTTGTAATCCTAGCATCCGGAGGATGAGACAGGAGGATCCCCACGAGTTCAAGGCCAGCCTTGGCTACAATATTAATAAATCGTTAAGTCAAACGTAAAATGGCATAAAATAAAGTAAAATTGCAATAATCAATGAAGATATGTGCATAGGCATGTATCTGGTAAGCTTAATATCTAGAAAGAAATTCTGGGAGGTGAAGGAAAACGGATTGTCAATGAGATGAGTTATAATTCCTTTACAGAACTATGGGAATGTTCCTTAGTAATCAAGCTATTTTATTTCCTTTGGTTTTTAGCTCACTAAAGCAATTTCTGATCAATAACTTGTGGTCACTTCTCTGTCCAGGCACATTTTCTACTATAGTACAGTGACATCTAGTTTCACGAGACTCTTGTACATTTTGTTATCCTGAATGCACTTCCTTGGATGGAGGCATCATAATCCCACCATACCGGGGATTAGGTTTTCACACAGGAATTTCTGGGAGACCACTCAGGCCGCAGCAGTGCAGGTATGAAAATGGGTATTTGAAGAATCAGTACTTCCTGTTTAAAACGAAAGCTCAAGGAGACGCTACTGAGGAGGAGGCTAAGGGAGAAGGTCAGGCTGGCAGCACCTGGCTTGCTAGGATCCACACAAGGCCCCCAGAATGTGGCAGGGGAGATTTAACCACCAAGCAACCATGCGGGGCCTCTTGGGGGTGCTTAGGGCAGGGCTTTGCCCTCGGATGGATTAATGCCACTCTACGGGCTGGATGGAGGCAGCACCAGGATATTTCTGCACTTCCAGGTCCCAAGCGCACCGCCAAGACCCGGCCTCACCGGACATGGCATGTGCTGGGCCTTGGTTCTGACCCCTGACCTCCAGGACTGTGAGAAAATGAAGCTCTGTTCCTTATGAACTACCAGTGTCAGACATTCTGTGATAGGAGTACAACGGGCCAAGACATTGCTGAAGGCTTTTCAGCCTTAAATTGCACAAAGTACTCAGCTACAGCGGATGAGCAGACTGAACAGGCAGTTCTTGTAGGGAAACGAGATAATATTTTTAAAAATTAGAAAAAAACTTTATATGATAGAAGTTGAGGAATCTAACTAAATATACAAAAATAACAAAACAACAACAACAAAAAAGAATGTACTTTTTTTCTCTATCATATACAAATTTTATTATTCTTTAAAAATGAAACACCTATAGTGATTTGAAAGTTTAAAGCGGTACATACAAGTATAGATGTCAAACACTGAACTGAACTAAGTTCCTCTCATTGGTTGATCAAAAACAGAGAAAAGCCGTTAGTATGAACATAACTAACATTTGAGGTTCTTTCCTAAGTGAGGAGCTCTGAGAGTCCGTGACGCAGTGACTTGTGGTTTTCTGAGGTGCTAATTTGAACACGTACGCGGGGTTCATAACTGTTTTCTCAGCTCGTCCATGCGTCTGGGCAGCCATTGATTCTCTGATTGTGAGTTTGTAGACATTTCATCCGAATAGTCAAATACAACAGTAGTGGAAGGGATCTATAAACAGGGTATGTCTTCTGCAGATGTCAAGGGTGTATTTTACCGAAAAACTATACAAGGAGTTTCAAAAGATCTTTACCCTATTTTTGAAAAAACATTACTTTAGTATCCCCCAGTTCAGGAGGAAAAAAGATAACAGAAGATCCTAGAATTCCCCAAGTTGGTATAAGATATTTTATTGTTGTTTTTCTTGTTTGTTTGTTTTTCTCCGGTACCAGGAACTGAACTCACGACCTTGCACTTGCCAGGCAGGCACTTTTGCCACTGAGCTAAATCCCCAGCCCTATACAATATATTTTAGATAAAGTCAAAGGGCTTAGGCAATATAAGGAAGCTAAACAGTTACAAAGTATGGTTTCGAAGGAACGTTCATGATCTAGGGTCCTTCAGAGAATATTCTATGGCGATAGTTTCTCCCACTTGCAGTCTCTGGCACAGGTTCTCTATTGGAGCGGCAGGAAAGGGCATAGGATACATTTAAGCAGGTTCTAAGAAAGGATTTGTTGTATTCGCTCTATACTTTTTTTTTTTTTAGAAAGTCTCTGATTCTTTTCCTGCTTGCAAGTAGGAGAATTCAAGAAACACAAATCTGTGAAAGGGGCTCCTCTTCCTAGTTGTGAAGCTAGTGTTGGCCCCTTACAGTTGGTGCTGATTGTGCGCCTACGCTTCGGTGGACACTCGGCTGTGCTTTCTTTATTCTTGTTTTGGAGAAAGAGAAAGTTCCACTTTTTATTTTGGGAAACAAGGAGCACTGGTGACGTCCTGCAGGTACAATGTGGAATGATGGGCGAGTGTTAGGTGGGGCTCAGTAGGAGTCGTAGCTGGCTTAGAATCCTGCATCTCTCTTTCACCTGTGCGATTTAGCGCTGTTAGCTCGAGGCCTGGTGCCTGGGCTGTCTCGTGCTTGGAGATTCGCAGTGCACTTGCAGTGGGACACAGAGATCATCAGAACCAGATCCACAGCTGCGGGACTACAGATGCTCACTCCAGACATACTGCTATTTTCTTCTCTGTTAGAATCAGTGTTCGTTTTTAGATTTTATTTTAGCCTTTTTGAGACAGGGTCTCACTATGCAGTTCAGGCTGGCCTCTAACTCACTTTGTAGCCCAGGCTGGCCTCACTCCCAAGGGCTGGGATTACAGGCATGTGTGACCATACCTGACCGTGTTCATTTTTTGTTGGAAAGGAGTGAGAGGAAATCCTTCTTCCAAATTAAAATTGTAAGCATCAGAGGAGCTGATAGATTCCTCCAATTTTTGAGAGCAGTTTTTTTGATTTTCACTTTTGTTTCCTTTAACCTTTGACGTAGACTTAGATTTTCTTCTGTTACCTTTCATTTCTCTTCTTCTTTTTTTTTTTTTTATTTGTAGATCTCTATTGCTACTTTCTTTCAGATTTAGATTTTAAAATGACTTCTTTCATTTTGGCAAATTTTCCTGGTTGAATCAGCTTTGGTGATAAATTAATTTTGTCTTTGTTCCATCGATGGACAGTTTTTTCTTCATCTTTTGGTATGTGCCTGTTTATTACTAGGTCTATATACTTGATTCTTTCCATTTCAAAAGATTGTCTTTCTAAATGACTGGCTTCACAATCACCCAAGGCATCACACTCGCTTAGATTACTAAAACGTTCCTTTATGTGGCAACAAAGCTGCACAGTTCTAGGTAAGACAGTAGCAGCAGACTGAGTTTCACCTGAATCAAAATCAGATCCCACTGTCTCGAGGAACTGAAAGTATTTGCTCTTCTATTTGGAATGATTCTCCTTGTCCTGGGAGGTCCGTTTCTTGCAAAGGAACTTGCCTGGGCAGTATCTTCTGTTTGTTGTGAAGTAAGTTTTGCTTTTCAGGCATATAGCTGACATGCAAGTTAGCAATACTCCTTTCTTAGCTGTAGTGTGATATCTTGGGATTCTCTCACTTTGGAGTTCTCAGCTTCCAAACCTAAAACCAACATTGTGTTGTTGTCTTGGTAATTTTTCAGCAGTGTACAAGTGGTGGTAATTACTCGGCACGGTGCAAGTACAAAGAACCTGCGCTTCCCAGTCTCTGCCAAGGTTTTATGCCTTTTTCATTTTGCTTGCTTCTTTATGTCTTCAGGACTATCCTGAAAGGACTTTCTGGTGCCTTTCCTTGGCCATCTTCTGCCTTGGTCAGTGCTTCTGCAGCTGCTGCCCTCTTCCTCACCTCGCAAGCCTCCAAAAAGCTGTCCCGCTTTGCCTGAGCCCCAAGCTCTAGGCCTGCAGCGCTGTCTCATGGCCCACTACTACTGCAGCCACAACTGACCTTCAAAAACACCTCTGCTTTTTTTCTTTCTGTCTTTTTTTTTTTTTTTTTTTTTTGAGAGAAGGTCTTGCTGTGCAGTGCAGGCTGACCCTGACCTTGAATTCACTTTGTAGCCCAGGCTGGCCTGGGACTCCTGGCAATCCTCTTGCCTCGGCCTCCCAAGTGCTGGGATTACAGGTATGTGACTCCACACTTGGCCTAAGAGTACGATTATTCTCGAAAAGTCTATGTGCACATCTGAAAGGAGGTAATCTGGAAGTGAAAGGTAACTGAATCCCTGCTGGTGGGTGTGAGCTGCTCCCCATTTTGTTAAGAAACAAAATCCTCTGGAGTCTTTTTTTCTATTTCTTCGTGTAAAATGTGCTTCGGCCTATTCCAATAATGCTTACTAAAACATTTCAGGACCTTACATGGCCTTAAAAATGAGATCTTAAAATTAACAAGGTACACAGTGAGCCCAGTTCTGAGGGCAAGATCCTGCTCTCCTGAAGCTGCACGTAGTTACCCTTCAGCTCGAAAAGTGCTCTGTGATGGGTTAAACTATTTCTCACCTGCACGACATGTGGGTTTGTGCATTTTAAATCTGTTAGGGTTGCTATCACAAAATACACTAGGGGGTTTACAATAACAGAAAATTCTCGTCACTTCAGGTGCTGGGAAGTGCAAGGCCTAAGACCCAGCCCATTCCGAGCCGGCTGAGCGGCGGCTCTGCCTCCCCAGTGCAGCTTCCTGCTCTGCTTCCACTTTGTGCAAATGCACGACTTTCACGAGGTTGCTACTACTCTTCCTGATGAGAAGCCCCCAAAGGCTCCGTGAATACCGCCACACTGGGGCTTAGGTTTCCACGTAGGAAACTTGGGACACACAAGCATGCAGCACCAAACAGCGTCTCCATCGAGAACGCCTTACCACCCCTGCTTGCTCAGGTTCCTATAAACGCAGAGGTCCCCTGATGGCCTGGTGCTGGCCGCTGCTGTAAACCCTGCAGCTCCGCGCCTCGCCGCGCAGTCTGATCCTCCCCTGGGATCACAGCGACCACAGCTCCCACGGTGGAAAGGTTCCACTGGTGGGGGTAAAATGGCAGCGAACACTTGTAAAACTCGTCCACTAGCTCCAAATGGAATGTATTTCTGCCGCTTGCTCAGGGAACAAAGAAAACCCTGTTACACTAATTCAGCAAGTAACTCAAGTCGGCTTCGTTGAAACAACCATCCGGAGTTGAAGCTGTACCTATTTGAGAACCTCCCCTGTTGAGTTCTCAGACCACTCTGGTTATCTCGAGGGCGCAGGAACCACAGGGCAGCCCTGGGATTGGGTCTGCTTCACGCCTTTCCTCACTTCCGGTCTGAATCAATTTACTCTGCATGAGCCGGGTGTGGTGGGGAACGCCTGTAATCCCAGCACTCAGGAGGCTGAGGTCGGACGATTGTTGAGAGTTCGAGACCAGCCTGGACTAATCAGTGAGCTCAAAGCCAGCTTGAACTGCATAGAGACACTGTCTCAAAAAGACAGCAACAACAACAAACAAAAAAAAAAACCAAAAAACTTACTCTGCCTGGAGGCTGTTCCGTGCTCTCCTTGCT